CATTATTATTTAATTCCTTAAGTGACATAGGAGGAGACTGCTGAAAGAGCCCCAGAGTTTTCCTGTCTGGTCATTGTCCCCACACCTGTGCCTGGCACCTGGCATTGCCTCAACGGGTCCCTCAGGTGGCTGCTAGTCCCCGGGCATCCCACCTGATACCCCAGGCTGCCTTGGGATGCTCTCCTGCGGTGCTGGCTCTGCCCTGGGCTATGTCCTGGTGCCTTCCAGGGCACCGCGGCTGAAGGGTTTATTGCTGTCTCAGGAGCCTGAAGGTTTAGCTACAGTTCTCTTCTAGTCCCCCCGGGACCATCTTTGTCATCCTCAGTGATCCTCTTGTCTTACACATCTGACCTCTGCAGATGCTGCTTCAAAACCTAAGCAGGGCCTGATCTTTGCAACATTTACACCAGTGCAGGAACAGTGGGGAAACTCTGGCTTTGCCCCACTTAGAAAGCTGGAAATAGCCTGTAACGTCTTGTCCAGCAAACCCTGCCCCAAGTTAGGGTTTGCATCACAAGCCCTGGAGAAACACACGCCTCTCCTACTGATTTTCCAAGGTTATCCTCCCACCACTCACATCCTGGGAGATGTTTCCGAGAAGTCCTTCTTGAAAAAGTTGGGACAACACATGTCAGCAACACCGTGCTTGTCTAGGCATGTGGGTGGGTGCACAATAATATCAGTAACTCATGGCCAAAGAAGCTAGTGGAACTTGCTAGTGCCACCAACCCGAGGAAGCCCCCATGACCTCCTCCCCATGGGACCAGCAGGGCTCTCTTGGCTCCACAGGGGTCAATGTGCCACAGATTTATTGTGGCGGCATCTCCTCTGTGTGGGGAGCCAGCTCAGCTCTTTGGGTGTCCCCAGGGCAGCCCAGAAGCAGAAATTTTGAGGGAAGAAGGCTGGGACCCCACGCGAGCTCCTGCAGACCACTTGCTTCTGCATGCAGTGCTGCTGTGCCAGCTCAGGGCAAGCAGCAAAAACCGCAGGGAATGCGTTTCAGCTGAAAATAAAAGGCCGTTTCCACCTCTAATTAACCTGAGGTACATTCAAGCGATAGAGTTAGGCTCTCATTAGCCAAGCCACGGCAGAAATTCCTGTGCCGGCTGTGTTGCAGTGTGATCTCCTACTGCAGCTGGCACCCAGCGTGAAGGGCAGCAGGGCTGGGTGGGAAAGGCAGCTTTTTAGGCTTGGATTAGAATATCAATTTATAAGGGGAAGAGACCACCATAAGCCAGGAAACGGCAAAAAGGGAACAGTTGGAAAAGCCACAGCTGAGGAAACACCTCTCCCTTTGCTCCTGCAGGCAGGAGGGCATCCATCAGAGGCTGACCCACAGCAGTGAGCAAAGTCCCCTCCAAGGAGGTGGCAGCCAGGATGGACCCTTCACCTTATCTCCTTGCAGAGGGGCAACCTATCCCTGAAGTGAAGTGGGCAGGAAGGAATAAAGAGGCTTTGAGGAGAGCTTTTATGGTGGCCAGGGTCAAGAACAAACATCTGTCTTGCAAAGGTGCCTTCTCTCATGAGTGACACTGGACTGTCCGTCTTCCTTTTTTAAGAAAGGATATTAAAAGCAGTATGAGCTTATGGATGGGAAAGGATACCTGATGATCCATGGTTATTTACACCACTAATGAACAGCTGAAGAAAAACAACATCATATCATCCCCTTGCTTGAAAAATACCATCACAATTCAGAAACTTGCAGCTGACTGAAGTAGATCTGTAACAAGCTGAAGTCTCTGCCATATGAGGATTTTTCAGCTGCAATGCCTTCCCACTTGTGGTTAGCACCAGGTTTCTTATTTTTCCCTTTTTCTCAGGAGAAACTATTATTCTGCCATTTCTGAGTGGCCTAAAGGAGTTCTCCTCTCCTGGACGCGCACCTTGAGATAACATCTTGGCTATCTCCTGTGTACCGCTATCTCCTGTGTACCGTTATCTCCTGCTAGATCATATGGAAACACTTCAGACTAAAAAGATGCAGCAAATTTAGGCACCAACCCAGTAATTAACAAAACCCATAGCCATTGCAAGGGAAAGCAGGCCAGCTAGCCTAACACAAGATATGCAACACAGCATCATCCAGAGGTCTTGGATAAAGGTCCTACAACACAGGGGGCAATATTGTTGGACCAACCTCTAGCTTTGGGGATGTTTCTAATTAACTTTCAAAAGGAAATGGTTAAAAATGGCAAGTTTTCTGCTCCAGAAGGACTGAAACACTCAGCCTTTGCCATTGCATCAGCTAAAGGAAAGAAACGCAGAAAGAAAGTTAATCAGGTTTAGATCAAAGAAGAAAAAACACAACAAACTAGCAAGCAATCTCATCCAAACCCATACATGTGAAGAGTTTGCTGTGACTTCTTCCCCCCCACTCTTTTTTCACTTTCATCCTCCTGACCTTCTCCGTTCCAGCCAGGAGGGAATAGGAAAGTTCGAAGAAAGCTATTCCTGTGTTATTTTTAGCAGAGCCAAAAGAAAAGTGACTGGAAATAATCCATGAAAGCAAGCTTTCACCTTGATTTTCAGACTCTAGAGATTTTGATAGCCTTGATAAAAATCACAACTTCACCAAAGGCATATAAAATGCTGAGTGATACCAAGAGCATAAATTGAGCTCTTCCTTTCTTCCCGTTTCATATTAAAAACCTAGGATAGAGATGGAGACCAAAGGAAACACTTTCCCCCACGAGCCAGTGAATTAGTGGCCACACGACAGCAGGGAGACGCAGGCTTGGCTGGATTTCGGCACACCAGGCACTTATGCAGCCAGCAAGAAAATTCCACATTACAGTCTAACACATTCAAAATACATGCTGATTTTGGAAGATGCTAGTGCCTTGTGGAAGAGGT